TTCAGTTGTCCTCTCTTGCGTGTTTGTTTAAGAATAGTTGGTTTTGTGTATTTTAAAGCATGATTGATGAATTGATGTTGGTAAGATAAAATCGACCATTAATAGTTATGAGAATTGGTTTCTATTGGTATACTTTAGATTAGGTACAGTGAATTCATTGTATTTTGTTTGGAAATATATGTCATAGTTTGATATGATATTTGGTTGGAAAAGTTCTGAAGTAATCTACTACAACTCATGGTTTGAAAGAAATAGCTTCCCTATCTATAAAGGTCCATTTCTTGCTTTTGTATTTCGCATTTCATCTTGCTCTGTTTTGACGGCTTGATTCAAGTCTTGGTAATTTCTGTTCCATTTTGGTATCCCCAACTTAATTGCGTAATTAAAAGTCTTGAACAATTGTGTTTAAATGATTTAAGTTTGTTCCTTTAGGTTTGAGATTCTGCGGGTCTTTTATAATCCCATGAGTTTTCCTTTTCTTGACATTGCAAATCGAGTTGGCCAGGAGAAGGGAATGTTATTAAAATGGCGTAATGTGGAATTGTGATCTAGAGAAGCCATTCTATTTCCTTTTCTTTCACCTAAAACAGTAACCAGCTACAAATTTACTTGAGGAACAATCCTAGCAGCCACCTCAATAAGATTTTGATAGATGACATGCTTAAGAGAAGCTTTACAAATATTCGTTACTCAGATATTACATTTCATGCTGGAGATTTCTCAAGATATTGTTGTGTCATATTAGACAATGACCATAACCATTTGTTTAGATGTAGCTTCTGAATATTCTCAGCTTTCATTCTCAGCGTGACCTTGTCGTCTTGACATAATGAACCTTTTTTTTTTTGTTAAGTAATTGAGGTGTGCCATATCAAACAAGACCTATAATTTATGGCCCTCAAAAGATTAGTTCAAATATCCTTTAAAATTAGATTCGAGGCGTGCCATAAGCAAAATTAGATAACCCATGGCCCTCGGGTAATTAATACTAACTCTTTAAAATTGAGGTGTGCCATCAATTGAATTTTCCATAGCCCTCGCAAATTTTGTTCTAAACTCAAAAAGTGCGTAGTTGCTTTAAGCGCGCTATTCGAATTAATTTCCTTAAACTTGGGTGTGCATTTCATGTGACCCAACTCCAATTCCCAACAACGTTAAATAAAATGTGTCGTGGACCGCGGGTGCATTTCATGTGGCGTGGTTCAAGGCGTGTTTTAAATAACGTTGAATCTTCCTAAAAATAATTAAAAGCGGTTTAATAAGTTGAAATTGCACCATAGGCTAAAACATGTGATAAAGCGGATAATAGGCCAATTGTAATAGTTTAAGCGACCGTGCTAGAACCACGGAACCCGGGAATGCCTAACACCTTCTCCCGGGTTAACAGAATTCCTCACATAGAATTTCTGGTTCGCAGACTTCAAAAGGGAGGTTGAATTTTCCCTCGATTTGGGATTTTAAGATAAACTGGTGACTTGGGACACCACAAAATAAACTATCCCAAGTGGCAACTCTGAATAAAAATAAATAAATAATCCCATTTTGAATAATGTCACTTAAATTGGAAAAACTCCCTTATACTACCTTCGAGTGTGTAAAAAAGGAGGTGTGACAGCGACAATAATGTCGCAAATGCGAAGAAGGCCTGGGAAGGCCAACCTCGCAAATGCGAAACCTTGGCCGGAATTGCGAAGGCCACAGAGGTCGCTAATGTGACATATGTGTCGCAAATGCGAAGGCAGCAGAAATTCAAAGGGTTTGCAATTGCGAACCCCTGATCGCCATTGCGATAACTGCAGCCTGTTAATTGAGAGCTAGACGGGATTTCCACTTCATTCTTCAAAATTTCAAAACCTAAACTCCTAAGGGCGATTTTTCTAGCGCATGTTCTTCCCCAAATCATAGGTAAATGAATGTTAACTCTTTTTCTTCAATCTATTTCATCTTTTTACATGATTTCATCTTAAAATCTAGGGTTTTTCATGGGAAATTGGGTGTTCTTGGGTAGAAATTAGGATTTCTAATTTTGGGGATTTGGATCTCGATTTGAGGTCGGATTTCAAAACCAATTGCATATTTGAGTGCATAGATGAATGGATAATTGGATTTTGGTTCGAACTTCAGAGTTTTGACTAAGCGGGCACGGGGTCGATTTTTGACTTTTTGGGGAAAACATTGGGAAATCTATATTCATGCATTAGAATTGGTTTACTTAGCATTTATTGATGTTATTAAGCAAATAATGACTCATACAAGCGGATTGGAAGTGGAACGGAGAGGTAAAGCGGTAATTGAGGCTTGATTTTGTCCGTGAAATTGAGGTAAGTGTTTGGTTTAACTTGAGGGAATAGGTGTTGTGGTCTTATTTGCTACGTGTTAGTGTTGAGTACGACATATAGGTGTTGTGACTCTTATTATGTACCGTCCATGCTTAAATTGATGATTATCAATGTTGAACAAGACTTATGATAATTTCTTGGTAATTGATCATTGTTGAGTATTGGCTCAAGTTGAGATTTATTTTTGTGAAGTAACTGCTGGAACGAGATTGATTCCCTGGCCGGGATGTATTTGTTTCTATTGTTGATTCCCTTGCCAGGATGTATTGTTTCTATTGTTTGGGTAAGGAAGAGTGTAAAGCACGAAGGGTGATGCCGTGCATGATATTGCGAGTGAGTGTTACTGCACGAAGGGTGATGCCGTGCCAATATTGTGAGTGTTAATGCACGAAGGGTGATGCCGTGCCGATATTGTGAGTGCTAATGCCTGAAGGGTAATGTCGTGCCATGATTTGAGAGTTAATGCACGAAGGTTGATGTCGTGCAATAATTATGAGTGGTAATGCAAGAAGGGTGATGCCGTGCCGTTTCTGTTTATTATGGTGAGAACGAGAGTAAAAGCACGAAGGGTGATGTCGTGCTTGTGTTATTGTTTTCCTTATTCCTGTTGATATAAATATGGTGTCCTTTATGCTTCTCTATTGAATTACTGTTAGAATTTGATATTCCCCGCAGCATGTTCCCCTTCCCATCTTTATCTGTTATTTCCTGTTATTATTGTTCTGTTCGTATATGATTTAACTACATAGGTTTACATGGTTGTCGTATCCTAGTCTTGTCACTACTTTGCCGAGGTTAGGCTCGACACTTATCAGTACATGGGGTCGACTGTACTAATATTGCACTCTGCACTTTCTGTGCAGATTTCGGTGCCGGACCTCGTGAGTAGATCGTGAGTTGCTGCCTTCAGTCCATAGGAGACCCGAGGTAGATCTGCCGGCGTTCACAGACTCCGGAGTCTATGTTTTAGATATACTGTCTCCGTTCATTTCGAGAACAGTTGTATTTCTTTTATACCAATATTTGTAGAAATCTTTAGATGTTCGTGACATTGTGGCACCAAATCGTTGGGTAGCCTTGATTTGGAACTTACGTTGTTATGGAACTTCCGCATTTTATACCTGCTTAGCGTTATTTGCAATTTATTACTGTCTGGGTTAATAATCAATGTGTTAGAATGTATCGGTTGGCTTGCCTAGCTTTCACGTGTAGACGTCATTACGACTCCCGAGGGTGGGAAATTCGGGTCGTGACATGTATTCATGAATAAGCAGCGCGAATACTGCGAATACACTGCCGTAACAACTAAATAGTAGCTATAGGAAGTAATTATGTATATGATAGCTTTAGAAAATTAATAGCCATTAAACAATACTCCCTCCGGTCCAAAATAAGTGATTTTTTGGATGTTTTCACACAGATTAAGAAATTCGCCTTTTAGCATTAATTAACAATGGAATTGACCATATTAACATTTACTATCTCACATAAACACTCATAACACATATTCCAACACTATTTACTCCAAGGACAATGTAGGAAAAAAATAATTAATTCATTCTTGAAATCTGGAAAAATCACTTATTTTGGACCGGAGGGAGTAATAATTTCTGAAAATTTCTTATTTCTTAACGAAGATACTATAAAGGGAAATTACCAGCTATGTCCATTTATAAGTAGCTCATTACAAAAATTGGCCAATTCATAAAATATTACTAATATTAGCCAATTAGCTATTTGTAGCAAAATTAGGTCAATTTTTGCTTTTTTTTAAGTGGGTGTTATTAGAATAGATTGGGTACATCTTAAAGAGTTCGAATCTCAATTTTGGGATGATTTGGTGAAGTTTTGAGGTGGTTTGAATTGAAAATTCCAAGCAAAAATCGAACATTAAAAAAAAAAATATGTGTATCACAATGTGTATCATTTGTGTATCACATATGTATCATATTTGTATCAATTATGTATCACATGTATATCCATGTATACATGTGTGTGAGATACATGCGTGATACATGTGTCGCAGAAGAACTTTTTTGAACTCGATTTAATTACGAATTTTGATACAAAATCAGTCCAAATCACTTCCAATCTTCCTCAAATTTTTTATATTGACTTATCTATATGTTTTCAATAAATTTTAACTATACCCATTAAAAAAAGTTCCTTTTTTGCTTAGATTTTTGGAATATTGTATTTTTTTTGTATTTCATCACTTTATTTGCTACCTCATCCATGAAATTCTTTTCCGTTTTGCATCTAATGTTGCTAATCATGCTTAAAAATATAGAAGGAGATTTTTGTATGTGATTCTTTAAGATAAAGAACCTTATTTATTTAATTTTTCAATATTTATATGTGCTTGGCTAGTTTTGGTAAGTTTATAACTAATGGCCAGAGGTTTTGATAAGTTGAAACTTATATGTGATATTTGTATAAGTTTCCCTACTATAAATAGAGAGTGACATTGTATTTATAGCCCAACAACATTAGTACCTACTCAGCTGGAAGGACCGCGAAACTAGGCATTACTAATTTGAGAAAGGACTACATCGATATCTCTACTGATGATGTGTCAAGATTTTAGCCACCGCAAAACAATAAATTGTTCTCTTTCCTAAAATTCAATGAGAATTGAATAAAAACTCAAGTCGCCATCTACGACTTAAATAAGAAAATGGCTATTTAAATCAAAGAAGAAAGAACACTTATTTTTGCACCATCTTTTGGCTTTGAAGATACAAGTCAACAAGTTTCCTCTAAAAAAATATAAGTTTCTCTCCTGGTTTGTTTCAACAAGGATTCTTTTTCTTTTGATTTTTCTCTACTCTAAGAGATGGGAGATTCTTCAGTAGTAGTGCAGTCACAAGTACAAGGTGAGCTTCTTTTCTCAGGATATTTTCGAATAACTAATCAAATATTTTCTAACAAGGTTATATGTATATGTACTAACATATTAGCCGCAGACAGATTTGGAAAAGTGCAATCCAACAAGCAAAAATATAAACTTACCAAAAATGTGCTAAATATCACACGCTTAGCTAACACAAAATCTTGAATCTGTGTGCTGTTTCTGATCCTCTTAGAACTGTATTGGGTCAATTTCACGTATAGCTACTGAGTTTTACCCATTGTAATCGTAAAGTTAATTATCAAACTATTTTCTTATAGCAGGTAAGTTGGATACTCTACGTTATAGTAAGCAAAGTTCATTTAGTTACGCTACTGGAATACACAGCAAAGTTTATTTGTGACTTTATTGTGTCATAGATACTTATAGTAATAGGTAAAATCCATTTGTATTTTTATCGAGAAAATCACACTGATTTGAGTTTCTTTATAATGTAATAAAAATTTATTTTGCAGCTTCACTATTATATATAATGGGTAAAATTTGTCGGAAAAATTGATTATGGAGAATAAGATTTAGCTTGAGGCGTGTCAAAGATACTGTCCTTAAGGATATTTCGCCGACACAATAAAGAATAAATTAGGTATCCCCAGGATTCAAGAAGCTCTTCCAGTTATTAATTAAACTGGAAACAGAACTAGCAGAAAATTCAATAAAGAACTACCCCGCATAGTAGAAGGAGGAGAAATAGAAAGGAGAGTTGGAACTGTCATTGTTCACATGAGTGCCATGTATAAGAGGAAGAAGAAGTTTGAGAATAAAGTGTGTTTAGCTCCCCAAAAACCATGTATATATAGGCTTGTTCTAGTTAACAGCTAGATAACGGCTAGTTTGACTCCATTAAATGTAATAATTCATCACTAATTTTCAAACCTAGATGGACATAACCTTTTGAAATACCACTCATTTTTCAAAAAAAAAAAATTAGTACTTAATGTTTGTGTGACAATCAGAACTTTGTGACTTTATTGTTATAATAGACAAAGTTCAATGACCACGCATAAAATTGGCCATATGCATGAAAAGGCTAATAGTAATTGTTACTCGTTTTTATCTTCTTAGTCATTATTTGCAGCGCTTTTTATGGCATTTTGTGGCGGCAGGTAACGAAGCTAAAATTGAAGAGAGCTCACAGAATGGAACTGATCAGTCAAAAGCTCCAAGCTTCGTACAGTACAAATGGTGGATCCAAATGGTTATTTACTCAACTTTTGTTCTATCTGGCCAATCTATAGGTACACTCTTAGGTCGATTATATTTTGATAAAGGAGGAAATAGCAAATGGTTAGCTACATTAGTACAAAATATAGGCTTCCCAATTCTCATCCCTTTCCTCTTAATAAAATCAACTAAAACTAATCATGAAGTAATCACTCATGAAATACAGAAACCATCTTTTTATATTGTTGCTTCACTTTATACTTTGCTTGGGTTATTCCTAGCTGGAAATTGTATGTTATACACAATAGGTTAACAATACCTTCCTGTCACAACTTATTCACTTATATGTGCTAGTCAATTAGGATTCAATGCACTCTTTTCCTTCTTCTTAAATAAACAAAAATTCACCCCTTATATTGTCAACTCATTAGTAATTCTCACTATTTCCTCTTCTCTCCTTGTACTACAAAACGACGATTCTGGAGATGATCAGTCCAATAAAAAGTCTAGAAAAAAATACATAATTGGATTTTTATCCACTGTTGCTGCATCTGCTGGTTATGCATTGATGCTCTCTACTACACAGCTTGCTCTTCAGAAAATCTTTAAGAGGGAGAGTTTTCGTTTGATTATAGAGATGTCTATTTACCAGTCATTAATTGCGACATTGGCAATTTTGGTAGGATTTTTCGCGAGTGGTGAGTGGAAAAATATGGAGAAAGAAATGAATGAGTATAAATTAGGGAAAGTTAGATATGTTTTGAATTTAATTGGGACAGCTATTTCTTGGCAAGCTTTTTCAGTTGGTTCTATAGGGCTGATTTTTAAAGTGTCTTCATTATTCTCAAATGTGATTAGCATTTTAGGTTTGCCTATTGCTCCTGTTTTGGCTGTGATATTTCTTAAAGACAAGTTGACTGGTGTTAAAGTGATGTCAATGTTGTTGGCTATATGGGGTTTTGTATCATATATTTATCAGCATTATCTTGATGATTTAAAGGACAAGGCTGCAAAAGATGTTGAAGTTGTGGAGCTTTCTGAAGTTTCTCTCATTGAGAGAAGTTAAATTTGTAATTAAATTAAATATGACATTTTGTATAGTTTATTAAGATCGTATATAAACTTTCCACATCTCATGTTTGTGTTATATGCACTGTATCAGTTTGCATGGATTTTCGAATGAAAATAAAGCACAGAAAATTTGAGGTAGATAAGGTTTCTATCGCATTAGGTCATTTTGTTTACTCATTTGTGGCTCTTATAATAGCGAGTAGTAATCGGCATTTTGAATGGTAATTAAGCTTATTTTTTTTGGAGAAAATGGGCAAATTCATTTTACACGTTGAACATAGATACTCTAATTTTAAAATAGCTTTCATTTTTTATAATGGTGTCAGTAACACAACAATTACGCGCGCATCGTAATGATTTCTATATATTTTTGTAACACTTGCACGAGATGTAATGTTTATACATATATGACTACTCTAGAGGAAATCTTTTTTTATTGCTTAAATTATATATTCTTCAAAAAATATTTTCTGCTATACCTGACTAAACATCAAAATTTAAATAAGAAAACCATTTATTTCATATCAAACACACCTTAGTCTCCTAATATCGGTCATCACTTATTCTAATGTTTGTCATGCATGCTATTCATAAAGACATGTATACTACTAATAGAGAAGCTAGGAATTTTCTCAAGAGTATTCAAACTTAAAAGAAGGAAAAAAAATCCGTTAAAGGATGTTCAATATCTCTAAAACCTGATATTCTACTTATATACACAGTGTAATTTTTCGAGAAAGGGTGATCAATTGACCACCCTTACTAAAGTGTAGCTTCGCCCCTGGCTACTATCCAATTTCTTAATCTAATTATTTTAAACAACATTGAAATTCTACATATATGTCACGACCCAGATTTTCTACCCTCGGGAGTCGTGATGGCGCCTACTAGTGAAAGCTAGGCAAGCCAATTATTCCAATTATTAACCCTTTTCATTTTTAATCCCTTAACAATTGTGAATAAACATTACATAAACAGCGAAAATAATAAAGCGGAAGAATGAAATGTAACAATTTAATAATAATACCGATACCAATCCATAAACATAAGCTACCCAGAACTGGTATCACAATCTCACAGACTGTCTAAGAACACTACAAATAGGGGGGGGGGGGGTGGTCCGAAAGATAAATACAACGTTGTTTCTGAAGTACATAAAAGAAACAGTATGGAAAGATAGAAGAAGACGCCAAGGCCTGCGGACGCCTGCAGGACTACCTCGGGTCTCCGCCAATGGACTGAAGGAAGCAAGCTCACTGTGGTCCAAAAGCTACAGCACCTGGATCTGCACACAGTGCAGAGTGTAGTATCAGCACAACCGATCCCATGTGCTGGTAAGTGCCTAGCCTAACCTCGGCGAAGTAGTGACGAGGCTAGGACCAGACTACCAAATAAACCTGTGCAGTTAAATCATATACAGCGGAAAAGTATAGGCAGAAATTTACAGGTAAAGATAGGAGGGGAAAAACATGCTGCAGGGAATATCAAGTAACAACAGACAATCAATAAATAAATGTAAAGAACACAATAATTCAATTATCAGCAAGAATCACGAAATCAAAGACAAGTGCACGGCATCACCCTTCGTGCTTTTACTCTCGTCCTCACCATAAGAATCAATATAAATGTAAATGTGCATGGCATTACCCTTCATGCTTTATCACTCTTCCTCNGTTCTGAAGAGTTTAGTGGGTCTAAAGATAGTGATTGATAGGTTAACTCTCTGTGGATTCGACCCTGGGTGTAATACTCGGGTTATATTTGCAACGTCCGCAGAGTCCTTTTTAGATAGCATAGTTGGGCGTGATCACACATCTTCCTGATATATATATACTTGAGAGTACTCTTTAAGTTTGGATATCGCAATTGGCAAAAAGATAGGGTGTCCGGTTGAAAATAAATCCAAAGACTCGCCAATTGAGTAGATATAATCATTAGGACTCTCAAATTCTATATGCATGCAATCAGTACTATAGACCGGAGAAACTAAGTAATGTTTCAGGTGAAGCTTGTTAAATTAGGAGTACCTAATTCAACATCAATAGGATTAATGCACCCCGTTATTACAAGACACTCGAGCCTGTCACTTGAAATGTCCAATTTCTTCAATTCTTTGCAACTGAATAAGTACAACGCTTCAATATTGGCTAGATTTGCAAACATGTCCTCTAGCCATTTTTGCAGTGATGGCCACACAAGAGAAGTATACATAAAAGAAACAGTATGGAAAGATAGAAGAAGACGCCAAGGCCTGCGGACGCCTGCAGGACTACCTCGGGTCTCCGCCAATGGACTGAAGGAAGCAAGCTCACTGTGGTCCAAAAGCTACAGCACCTGGATCTGCACACAGTGCAGAGTGTAGTATCAGCACAACCGATCCCATGTGCTGGTAAGTGCCTAGCCTAACCTCGGCGAAGTAGTGACGAGGCTAGGACCAGACTACCAAATAAACCTGTGCAGTTAAATCATATACAGCGGAAAAGTATAGGCAGAAATTTACAGGTAAAGATAGGAGGGGAAAAACATGCTGCAGGGAATATCAAGTAACAACAGACAATCAATAAATAAATGTAAAGAACACAATAATTCAATTATCAGCAAGAATCACGAAATCAAAGACAAGTGCACGGCATCACCCTTCGTGCTTTTACTCTCGTCCTCACCATAAGAATCAATATAAATGTAAATGTGCATGGCATTACCCTTCATGCTTTATCACTCTTCCTCACCATATGAATCAATATAATCGGCACGGCATCACCCTTCGTGCTTTTACCTCACATAATAATGACACGGAATTATCCTTCCTGCATTATCACTCATATCATGGCACGACATTTTACATCGTGCGGCACGGCATCACCTTTCGTGCTTTTACCTCACAATATCGGCACGACATCACCCTTCGTGCATTAACACTCTCAAACTCATGCACGGAATCACCCTTCGTGCTTTGCACTCTTCCTCACCCAAGCAACAATCACAAAGCAATTTGGGTAAGGAAATCAATAATATCACAATACAATCCCGGCAAGGGAACAAAAGCATATCAATAATATTCCGGCAAGGGAAACAATATCATGAGTAATAACATCCTGGCAAGGGAGATAATATCAAAAGCAATAACATCCCGGCAAGGGAGACAATATCATAAACCTCTTTTCTTTTCCACAATTACTTCACAAATCAATTCTCAACTTGAGCCAACGCTCTACAATGTTCAATTACCATTAATGCGTTCACAAGCCTTCTTTAACAATAGAAATCATCATATAAAACATGAACAATACGAAACAGAGTCACAACGATCATAGTATAAGGCTCACGGGCATGCTTGACCCCGATGTATAGATACTCGTCACCACACCTATACGTCGTACTCAACAATTAACACTTAGCAAATAAGACACGACTCCTAATCGCTCAAGCTAAGGTTAGACCAAACACTTACCTCAATGCCACGAACACAATTCAAGCCTCAACTACCGTTTTACCTCTTATTTCCACCACCAATTCGCTTGTATCTAGTCATAATTTACTTAACGATATCAATAAATGCTAAATGAATCAATTCTAATGCATGAAAATAGGTTTTCTAAAGATTTTCCCAAAAAGTCAAAAATTGACCCCGGCCCACATGGTCAAAACCCGAGGTTCGAACCAAAACCCGACTACCAATTCACCTACGAACCCAAATATATAATTTGTTTTGAAATCGGACCTCAAATCGAGGTCCAAATCCCAAAAATTTGAAAATCCTAAGTTCTACCCAAAACACCCAATTTCCCCCCTGAAAACCCTTGATTTTGAGTTGAAATCATGTGAAAAGATGTTATGGATTGAAGAAAACGAGTTAGAAATGACTTATTAATTTGGAGAAGAACCTTTCTTTAGAAAATCGCCCAAGAGGGTTTAGAAGGTTTGACAAGTGAAGAATTTTCGGCTAAGTTATGATTTACACAGGCGCAGATATCGCATTTGCGATGATATGTTCGCAAATGCGAACTCGCAATTGCGGCCAAGGCTTCACAATTGCGAAGTAAGGCGTGCTCTGTCAACCTCGCAAATGCGAACAACCGTTCGCAAATGCGAACACTGTTGGAGTTGCAAATGCGACCGGAGCTTCGCAAATACGAAGGTCACCCCCCTGCCCAGTCATCGCAAATGCGACGGTTAGTCGCAAATGCGAGCCAGGCTTTCGCAATTGCGAAGCCTGCTGACCTGCAACACACAGCAGTTTTCCTAAGTCAAATTTCACTCTGTGGCCTATCCAAAACTCACCCGAGCCCTCGGGCTCCAAACCAAACATGCACGCAAGTCCAAAAACATCA